AAAGCGAAGATGGTGTAACTGCTGACCGTCGGTTTTCACTCACATATGATCCCATTTTAATGTTCACATGACGTTCTGGACGGTGGCGGCAAATAATTTTGAAGAGATGGTATCGCCTTGCCCAATCCCTCTTTTGACGTCGACGTTAAGCTGTAAAATGGTGATATCTTGGCCGTGAAATTTTTATACAGCTCACGAAGAAACTTTATGTACTGAGTAGGAAATCCTTGACTATCAAGGGCTTCCATGACTGCTTCTATCTCAGTTGAGTCAAAGCGCTTCTTCAAATTGATGAAAGTGAGACAGAGCTGTCTTTTGTGCTCTCGCAATACTTCAATGAGCCTCGTTATCGTGTAGATGTAGTCCGTCGTAAAATCCTTTTTGAAACACTGCTTGTTCACATGGCTGCCCTTCGTCCAGTGTTCCGGCAATCCTATTTAGGATAACTTGAGTGAAAAGTTTCTAGACGACAGACAGGAAGCAGATAGGGCGATAGTAGTTGAGGATTTCGTGAAGCTCACCCTTCTTGAACAACTGCACGTTCCTGCTGGTCTTCCACTGAGTAGGGACCTTGCATCAGACAGGTAACGTGTGAAGAGTGTTTAGAGAGCGCCAGTGTGTTTACGAGAACTGGCGGAAGGTTCTTCAGGTGTTCAGATCATATCCTGTTGGGACCTGGTGTTGTTCAATTTTTCACCGACGAAATGGCATGTCGGATTTCGGAAAGGAGAACCGGCGATACAACATATCCATTCTCCTTCATTTCATAAGACGGAAGGTGGACGTGGCTATCGAAGAAATCCGATTAGTACTCGCGAATGATTTTCTCCATTGCCTTTCTGGACGCTGTAACTGTTCCGTCTGGGCGTCGGAGTGCTATCTTCTTGCTCCTGTAATAGGCAAAGCTTTTTTGGGGGCTTTGCTAATGTTTTTCCCAGTCTCTGCAGCTTCGGTCGTTAATGCTGCTCTTCTCCCTTTAAGATCTTCTTTTACCCGCATTGTTTTGCAAGTTCGGACGTTAGTTCGCGGTTGCCTGCAGCTCGTGTGATTCCACGCTGGTGTATCAGCTCGAATGTTTCTGGAGACAGACGTCTCTTGGTGACTTTCGAACTCTCAGCTTTCATAGCGCTAGCGTGAAGACGTTGAATGAGCCGATCGTATTCTTCGCCGATGTTACCGACAACGGCGTCTTCCCAACAGTTGACTAGCGAGTTGAATAAGTCCCAGTTTATGGTGGTTTTGGAGCTTCGGTTTTTGAATTTCGAGGCTTTTTCTCTTTTCGGCGATGTGCACAACTTTTCTTTTACGAGATCAGCAGAAAATTGTTACTCCTGGCTCTGAAAATATGAGATGGTTCCAAAGAAGTATTGTATGAAAACAGTTTGGCAAACTCTTACTTAGCTAAGACCTAATTTTCTGTAATCATTAATTTTGGTGATTAAGCTATATGGTGGTCCATTTCCAGCTGGGCCGTACCTTGAGTAAAGTACAAAGGGGCCTCACTCAAGTGGAGAGATTTCTCCGTGTATAGATTCCATGACTAAATTCTTGCATTTCAAAGCTTATTCTCTTGGGCGAACTACAGTAGGAATACGAACCTCACGGAAGGTACTTTATTTAGCTGATAAGTTAACACAAGGTTGCTAGCAATTGCTCCTTCGGCTAAAGTCTCGACGTCTTCGTCGTCACCAGAGCCGATAGTACGAGTCGATGGTCCACAGTCGTTCGTATTGTTGATGTGGTGTGTTCGTCGAGTATCGAGTCGGATGTTCTTCACCGCTTGCGAAAGCTTTTCTGCTTCGTTTGGCATTCTATTGAGGATATTCTAGCGTGAATTCACCTCTTTATTAGCTGCATATGCTAACGATTACCAATCGACGACATTGATTTTCGCAATGAGTTTGTGAATGGACTATGGCTAAGGAAAGTACTGTGACTTTAGGAGAGTTCATATCAGATCCAAAAAAAAACCATACCACGAAGGCTTTACAAGCGGATTTCGTTCCTCGCATAATAAAGTTGTGGCCAAACACTACTTGTTCTTCTCATCTCCGTTTGCTTTTAGACGATAGCGTAGAATTTGATCCGCCCTACAGATTCAATAAGAATGTTCCGTCAACGTTTCTGTAGACTGTTCCAACACAAAAGCTACGACGCCAAAAAAGTCTCCATAGTAGGTTGTAGATGCGATCCTTTGATACACGTGACTGACAACTCTCCCTCATGAAAGACTCGGCCTGAAAGTCCGACACACACATTCCAGCATTCTATACTCGCAATTAAGCAAACAACGACCTAAACGAAGTAAGTGCAACGTTAATCATCCGAATGGAACTAGGACATCGTTTTTTTCTAATTTTGAGGAGTAACCATTTCTCCAAGCGGAATTGAAACTAAAGAGTCGTAATTTACATGAATTTAGCGGTTATCATCTACCTAAACAGTGGTATTGGTCTGTCTTGATCGTGATGACTTCGTGACATATCACTGATAACCTCATCGAAGTCGCATGCTCTATCCCATTTACCAATTGTTTGCCATTTTACTTGAGTGATGCTTATTCTTGTTATACTTACTTCACATACTCTCAAGGAAACTCATTGCTTTTAATTTTATGCATGCATAACCGAAGTTAATTGCACATCCTTTAAACAGATTCCTCTCGTCTCCTAGTGAAGCGACTTTGCTTCTACCTCGGCATGCAAATCAATATCTTCTCAAATGATTTGAAGAACCGAGGTGGATTAAGAAAGTGGCTCAAATGAAGTGGAAGACGCCGGAGGTCTTACCCCAACAAGTATTTTATAACAACTTCGTGTTGGCTTAATCATCTAAAGGAATATTCATCTTTATTTGCTTTAACGAACAATTGTCGAAAACCCAATATAACCGTGAACTATCAACGCTTCAACGGCAGACAACAAACAACAGTACAAGATATGGGTAACATAACTTTAGAGCTATAAAACATCTTAGCCCTACATTTCTAAAAGTAATAACGACAACTTTAACTAACTATCCAAACAATACAACAGTTCTCAATTCAGTATCTAAAACAACTATTGTGACAATCTCAACATTTCCAAAGATTTCGGTACACGTAAAACAACAGAATTTCACGGCGATCGTACAAACAAGTGGATTTTGAAAATCTGAACACTAAGTCAAATAATGGAAATCAACACATATCCATCAAATTGTTAAAAGGTTTGAGGCCTGGACTAGAGGTGTAGACTGTAAATAGAGGAGATGTCACCACAGGACTTCGACTACCGAATTGACCTTAAATGAAGAGTTAACAAATTTGGATAGAAATGACAAATCAGAACCTTTTTTCAAATGAGGGTGAAAAATAGCACTTAGTAATCGAGCCCTTCATGTTCAGACAGTTTTGCAGAGTTTGATTAGTATAAAAGAAACTGCAAGCATTTTATGTACCGATTCAATCACTGTATTACACCATCACATTTTAAGGTCAACGAGTAATGTTCTGACAAATCCTCGAAAGCACATTTCGCCTCAAAAAAGAATATATTGTTTTTAACATTTGCTGTTTCGCTTCTGTAAAAACTTAGAACAATAATGAATGTCGTTGTCGTGAGAAAGAATTGCTGTCCAACAGAGCCGCGAAAGATTTATGAAAACCGTGAAGCCCGGTCTCAATTCAGGCAGTTAAAATTACTCAGAACAACGCTGAACAAATTCTGCTTTTTGCTAGCTGAGAACGATGCCGACTTCTGCAGGATGGATTTCTTGGAAAAAAAACAAGTTGTTATCACCGGACAACCATTACTATTAACAACCAGCAACCTGTATAAAAGAGCATCGCGGGGTGAGTATGCCTTATTCGAGAGATGCTTGCTCCACTGAGGAACATCTGACTCGATACGAAGATAAAGGCGCCACATACAGAAGTTGAACAACTGTGGACCATCGACTTGAATCACCGGCTCTGATGAAGATGACGACGACGTTCAAATGTTAGCGGAATAAAGACTACTTCTCAACCTCGTGTAAGCTTATTAAAGAAAGAAGACATGTTGACTAGTTATACCGAGGTAAAAAGGTCAGTTTTTGAAATCGAACACCATAATTTCATATTGAAAATCCATGACAAAACTGATGAAGATGAACAGCGACACTTGCATTGATAACGAGGAAAAGGCTCCCTATCGGCATGATATATAGAAAATACGTAAAGAGGTTGTCATTGTTCCAATACCTAACTACAATAGAGATGAAATCAAGATCTACTATGCGACATTGAACGAGTTCTAGACAGACCACCTCAAATCCCACCACAGTATAATTAATGAATTAACAAATTCCAACAGTTTAAGATGAGCTGGTAAAGATTTTCAAATGACGTGTTGCAAATAGAATCTCAAATAAAGACGAAAACAAAATCTAGTTAAAGCTGCCAAGTTGTGGGGACATTATGTGATGCGAACAAAATAAAATTACGAAGAAACGAAGAATATTGCGCTATGTACCATCTAATACACCTTCAACCACCTGATGATGGATCGTTATCATGAAAATAGGTATTCCTGAATGCTGCCAAAAAAGAACTTATTTCATTCGTGAGATATTCCACTCTACTCAATATTACGACGACTCACATTCCCAAGAAATAAATACTGTCGACACAAGTCAATTCAATTCCGAAAATAAAGTTTTCGCCGAGACACGAGCCACAACAAGAACTTAATAGCAACTTCGTGCAGTTCCATTAATAAACCAACACATTGGCTATTAATGAAGAGTTTAAACAGAACCGATTTCATAGCTGCACGAGAATAACCGCTGTCATCTGACATCTGGCAGACTCAAATAAATGTATGTGCACGAATATAATGTTCAAAGCCCTTCACAGTAATACCAAAAACGAATTATGATGTTCTTGTCTTAAAACCAACCTTATAATAACATATTTCTAAACCATTACAAAGATGTTAGTTTAGGGCTACAATATGATCCCCAAGACCAAAGTCAGACACTCATTCTTCAATAAATACTTTCAGAACAAAGAAACATTCAAAGCCCAAATACGGAACCACCATTCGTTTTTCCACAAAAGTACCAAAGTTTATTAAACAGTCTAGAAGAACAAAGAAAATATAAGTAGGGCAATTTATTTTTAATTTGGCGGAATATATACTGAACATACCATCAATCAGAGCGTCCTCGTCATCTAGGAAATCCATTGCGTGTTCCTGCAAACCCTTTAGCTGTAAGCTTTGCAATGCAGACGATACAGCCGCCTTGTCTTCAGCCATAGGAGAGAAACGTCGTAATAGCGGACAGATCACTGCTGCCGAGCTAAATAATAATATTCATCAAAACGAAGGAACGGTTATAAATGCCGATACCATCATGACAGTGTCATCACTCTATGAGAAAATCTAACATAAGAAATTGAGTGGCATACATCACCTTTGAAGTTTATAGCTGTCAAATGGAAACATGGGTTCAAACGGCAGGTTTTCACCAACATCGAACGGGAGTATATGAGTGCAGTAGACCAGCTGCAACGATCTGAAAGCGAATGCAGTCACAATACTCAAATGTTCGCGATTATCTGTATATACATAACACTGTCTGGTAAAATGTAGCCCTACGATTTTTAGCATGTTTTCGACAACATCGAAATTTATGAAATAAAGACCAATAAGGGTAAAATTTCTAGAACACCCTTCAGTTATTCTCCCATGACATAACTTTAATCTCCTTAAAACCAAGAAATTTCTCCCCATCTCTAACGTCCAAACTCGTGTTTCGAACACTGAAATGCTGCTTTAACAAACGAACTTTCTCCCAATGATATGTGGTCGTTTCATGAATGAATATTCGATATTCGTGGTTGACGTGTGTTTGAGTTTAAACTTTAAAACTATTCTTCTACTTAATTTTGACTTGGAAGACATATTACCTACTCTAGGAAAACCATGTATATCCTTCCCGAGTTCTCACTGTAGTTAACGAAAACATATCGGAGTTTGTTGACAAGCATGGGAGGTTGTGAATATGTTTCATGTTATTACCGCGATACATAGCTCGCTAAAATTTAGTTACTTGTAACTATAATATCTTTGACTTCCAAATGTAGTATGTTATTACGAGAAAATTCGTACATGATTTAAATACGCAACCATCGCCATTTCGTCACATCGATGAACCAAAACTACTAATACGTTTAAATGAAATGTACCACATTCTATAGACAAATTTCATCAACAATGTGATGTGCCAGAAAACCTTCGTTTAGTTTACATACAATCATTCTCTACCATGTCAGTTATAGTGTTATTTAATAAATGAGGAACAACCCACCTGCCAATTGCAGCAAAACATTGTCCAACAGGCCTGCTAACATATTTGAGAGGATCCAAAGGTGAGTGAACGATTCGCCCTAATCCCCATCCTCTAAGTTTGTTGATGTCTAGAAACCAAAAGCTAATACTATGTCAAAGTCTGTTACAGACTTAGCACCAGCAGAATAATAGAGAAACATCTTAGGAAATCCTATTCACACGTTCTAAAACATCTTACACAAATCTAAACTAAGCCTTATGAAATGGTTCAAAAGCGTCAAAAAAGTTGATACGCTTCTATTCCAGTGACAAATTACTGCCTATATCAAAAGCTCTCTACTCTCCCTAACAAAACGCATTCTTAATTCCATTAAAAATGGAAGCTACCACAAAAATCTTACCTTCAATTTGAACCAACTCTTTGTATCGAAAAGAAAAAATGATGAATAAGGCCTGACACAACGCGTAGAATGTTCCGTGACGAATTACACCAGGCGTAATCTAAATTCATGCAATGGCAGTATATATGGCAGTTCCTTCGGCAGCACAAATTGACGATAGAAACAGGAGATCACACAAAAAAAACAAAAGTCCACTAAAACTTTACCTTGTTGCAGGCTATGCCACATTTATCAACATACTGAACACACCACTTAACTATACGATACATCCATGATGAAGCCACTCTATAATCAACGCTGAATTCAAAACGGAAAAACGACGCAAGTTAACGTTGTAAAATCTCAATGCAATCACCTAATATCAAGGTATTTCGCTCTGGCAAGAAATCCGGCCAAATAAGCTGCTGCACCATGTGCCTTTGCCACATCTGCTTGGGCCACTTGTGGTCGGATAATAATTGACCATAACAGCTCAAGTGTTCGAGTAGCGTACTTCTAATGTGTACGAAATTCTTCTTTCATACAAATGAAACATTTGTTCAAGCCAAAATATTATCAATTACCTCAGACAATCCACAGAAATATATCCATATAAACGATGTGTACCGTACATGAACAGACAACAACATACGACTTTCCAAAAGTGATAGAAATATAGAGAACAGCTCTTCACCGCTTGAGTCACTTCCTACCCGTAACCAACTTGAATCTGAACACAGCACCATATTATAACGCAAATGGAAATGCTCAAATTTAAGAATAACAACAAAATCTACCAAAATGGACAGGGTAGCCTGTGTAATCTAAGATAATCGAATTATTGAAGAACAAAGAAAAAGTAAAGCAAGAAAAAACAAACAAAGCAATGCCGAAAACAGAGGAAAATGATACTTCATACAGCGTTATCTCTTAGTAAACCAAGCAAAAAAGGTTTTATTCTTATGGAATTATGCCGTTCGACTACAGCTTTAAAGTGCATTAAGAACAGAAACACACCACCTATGGCTTCGCTTTGGATATTATGTTTCAATGCGATATAACAGAGAACATCTCGCATTACACCGTCAAGTTTAGAGATCATTTCATTCTCCCCAACGACAGCTTGGCCTTCATGATCTTCGTCCTAAAGTTCAGTCGCCAACTTTTAACGAAACTTTTCAATTATTCCACAAATGCTGGTTTAACAACATAGTAAGCTACTTTTACACACAAATTCTGGTTAAAGTCGCAGATTGCGATACTTAACCCTTACCATATGGAATATGAGCGTATCTGTTTCGAACTTCTTATCATCCTTATAATCTACTCTCGTTAGCATATTCTGCAACAAATGAATTGGTATAAAATTTGAAAAAGAAGGTTCGTATGAAAAAAAAACAACAAAAATGGATTTTTATATCCTTGGTGCGACTTTGAAAGAAGAAATGTTGACAGAGAAGTTTATTAGTACTAAATCACAGAGGAATTCTCAACATAGAGGAATCTAAACTTACATCACATAATACCACTTGATCGACGATGAGTTCCCAAATATCGGCACGAAGTTTATTTACATACTCAAGACAATGTAGTAGATTCCTTATGTAGCCGGTGAAAAGATAATAGTCTTGGCTTAGATGAGGAACACTACTATGCAGCGTTTTCAGAAGCAACTTGCTAGACCTGAAACATGAGGAAAGTGGTTGGCGATAAAATATTTCGTCAACAAGAATGGAAATGAGCAAAAATGAAGAAAGAAAACTGCTCATGGACATGGAGATCGCCTATTAACAGGACTTGGGCTCAAATTTATCCCACGTTGACAAATATATGGCGCCTAGTTAATATCACTGTAGTGTCTTATTTCTATAAGTGTTCAACAAAGTAGTTACTTAGAAAATGGGTGAACGCCTCAAGATTACTGGATGACACTGAAAAAGACCACTGTGTTCAAGACAGAGCAAAACGACGCAAAAAGGCTAGATAAAAACGAAATAGATGGAAAAAATGTTGAGGACTGTATGACTCGCTGCGATAAGCTAACCAAGCATTAAAATACTTTAATAAGCGGCCTGTCCGATAAATAATTCTGAACAGCTCTTTATGTCAAGACCTCCTACATACCTTTTACTTAATAACGGTACATTAAATATTCCCAGGCTCGAAACTTTTCTTTAAAAAGTGTGCAGAAAGAGTTGTGCCTTTGCAAACTTAAGATACGACGAAAAATAGGAGATATTTTAAGCATTAAAACATACAAGAAACATTCACTTACATAGGGAAGCATCTTAAAACTTTCGCAACGATGCGATGAGCCATACCATAGAACTTGTCCTGTTCTTCTGCTGAGAATACAAGCATAGTGCTTCCATCCTCACCTGTAGATAAAGCCCACCTATATTTACAGAGGATGGAATAATATCTTAAATTACCACCTTCTTTTACCACTGGAACGAAATTGTTTACGGCGGCACCGTATATTGTTTCTACATGACAAACCTATAATCAGGATTGTTTTCGAAAGATACATGTGTAATCATCTATCAACACTCATATATATACATACATATATATATACATATATGTATATATATATATGTATACATAGCCAATACATGCGCATACGCATATACATATGTACGCACACGTATATGTATATGTATATGTACTTATATAAACAAGATTGAATGCAAACGAGCTTACGTGACGTATAGCCACATCGCATAACATATTCAAATAGCGCTCCATGATCTCTTCGGGTATCATCTGCCATTTCAGTCGCTGAAATCGTAGAACTTCATGTAGGGGATACAAACATAACTCGTATGAAGTGCTGAAATATTTGCAAAACTCCGGACCACAGGTGTATGCAGTGGGGAACGAACACGCGCTGTTGTCCTTACCGGGGAGCAGCGCACTTCACCACTACACCATCCGGGTCCTTCGCTTTGCATGTATCTCATCTCAGCTAGTTCTATCGATCTTTTTGCCATCAGCAATCACCCGTCAACGGGATTGATCTGGGGAGCCAATATCGGCATTGAACCCAGTTAAGCTGAGGCCTCGTTATAATCACAATCTTAACTCTTTTATTTACTGCCTTTTTCTAGCTAGCTGAGATACATGCAAA